CCCGCCCGACCGTTAGCGCTGGACATCCCTGCCCGGCGGGGCGGAGCCAGGGGCGGGCGCGGCTGCTCGGGGGGCGGGGCCATGCACCCCCCCCCGCCGGGACAGCACCCTCCTCCCCGGGGCGCAGCAGCCGCCGGGGCTCCGGGCAGGGGAGTGGCCCCGCCGGCCACCGTGCAACGCCCCGCGAGAGGACAGCCCGCCCGCAAGGCACGAGGGGAAGCGTTTGCTGCTCGCGCTGCCCCACGCGGGAGAAGATCCCGCCGGGCTAGACACCGCCTCACCGCCGGGAGGCGCCCCACGAGCTCGGGCTCCGCCGACAGCAAGGGGCGAGAAGCAGCTCCTCCGAGAGCAGTGCTGCCATTTGACCCTGGCTCCAGGGCCAGTCACTCCAGTCGCTGAAGTGCCGGGGCTGGCCATGGCAGGGGGACCAACAGACGCAGTCCCGTGCTGGGTGTGGCGGCGGCTTCCAGGTGCGGCAGAGCACCGTGCGAGCCGCCTTGGATTCACAGGCGAAGAGCAGAATAGCTAATTAATGGCTGCCAAAGACATGGTCCGTGGGCCACATCCTGCCTGGCCCCGTGTGCTGCCTGTGGTGTGCAGAGCTCATCCGGCGCGGCCTGCACATGGCGGCAGGACAGTCTGGGCTGTACGCTGCATATAGTACCCATGGCGGACTGGCCCCGCACACTAAATCTGGCGCCAGTCTGGATCAGGCCCACAGACTGTGCTGGATGCAGGGCCAGTTTGGTGCAGGCACCACATGCCATGCTGAGCTGGAGATGGCACATGCTTCATGGAGCGTGCAGGGCTGGGCTCAGCCACCCGCTGCATGTGGCATCCACAATCAAGCCCACGGATCGATCCGGTGTGCAGGCTCATGGCCTGCTGCAGCTGCCACATGTAGGGCATGTCCCAGACTGGCCCCACGCACTGTGTGTAGCTCGTGCCCTGGACTGGTGCTATGTGCTTGTCAGAGGCCAGCGTGTGCGGCACACAGGGCTGGAGCCAGAGCACATGCTGAAAACTTTCTGCAGGCTGGATCTGGCACACGGGGTCAGCCTGTGGGCCCAATCTGGCCCTGCACCCCACCCCTGCACCTCTGCCCCCCATTTAAACTTATTTAGTCTCTCCAGCTTTCTAAATTGTCCCTTTGAGCCCGTCTCCTCTCCACTCTCTTTAAATGCAATAAAGCATTTGGGTCAGAGACTTCTCTGCAGGAAGCAGAGGCCAAATCAAGTTATCCTACAGGTCTCCAAAAAAGCTGGCAGGCTTGTTTTGCTTCACAAAATAGTTCATAAACAGGAGTACATTCAATCCAACCCTAACTTGCAACTAGGAAAACTAAACAAATCCTTGAAAGATTCTGAGATTTCCAAAGCCGCCTGCGGGATTTGGTAACATTCTCCGCTAGGAATTAACAAGCGTCCAGGGGACCTGGATTTTTAAAAAAATTTGTAGGAAGTCCCACAGTTTCACCATTTGCAAAACAAAATGTTTTCTGTTTCTGTATTCCAAAACAGAATGAAACCTTCAAAATGTCCAATGAAACACAATCTAAAACAACAACAACAACAACATTTAGATAGAAATGCTTTGGCATGGAAGTCTATTGTCATTTCCATGTGCTTTAAATAGAAATTTAAAAAATGGAAACACTTTCAAAATGGGAGGGGAGGAGAGATCAAAACATCTTGTTCCATGAGATTGAAATAAAGTTGAAACACATCATCAGAACACTCCCTTCCATTGTCTTCAAAATAACAGAAGAAACTATTTCCAGGTAACAACTCATTTTGACAAATCAGCATTTTCCAAAACAAGGGGAGGGGAGAAAGGGGGTTTCCATGGTTGAATTCCTGGCCATTTCTACCTGCTGGGCTGGTTACGGATGTGGGGAAAAAACCCAAATGACTGTTTACTTTCAGCTTGGCAGGACCCTGCACCAAGCGCAATGCATGCCCCAAAGAGGCACTGTGTTAGTTTGATTCAATCAGCTATTAGATGAAAGAGCCAAAAAGCCCCGCTGAATCATCCAATCTATACAGACAGTGGGTGAGCCGGGTCAAACTAACGTGATGCCTCTTCTGGGCAAGCACCAAAAAGCCCCGCTGAAGCACCCAATCTATAGATGCTGGGGAGCCGGGTCAAACTAATGCTCCGCCTCTTCCAATAAAGCCCTGTTTTGTTTTGTTTTTTCACATTTATCAGTGTCCCAGATTTCCTAAACAGCGTAAAACTCTTGACCTAAACCACGTGCCTAAACCCAAATCAGAGATGGGGAGAAGCCAGGTTTAGGACTCAGTCCTCAATGTGACTCTGTTCATATATGCAGCTCGCATGGGGCCTAATTCCCTGTTGCCTGGCCAGACAGTCACCTCCCCCCCTGCGTGCGCGCGCGCGCGCGCACGCACGCACGCACGCACGCACGCACGCACGCACACACACACACACTGGGTGCTAACAGCTGTTTCTAGAAGAGTGCAAGAATTCTCATTTTCTGGCATTAAACCCGTATTTGTGACAAAGGTAGGAAGCCAGACAACAGCCAGCCTGCCTCGCTCCTTAACTAGCAGTGTCCGACAGTCACGAACATGGGACTTAATACAAAGAGCTGGAGTCCAGAGACTGATGAAAATCAAATGGCAGATCCATACTCACTAGAGACTCCGTGCAGCAGCAGGCAGTCAGGGAAATCCAATTGTCCAAGGGTAGATCCATAATTCAAAAGATGTTGCCTTGAAAAATACCAGGCTTTCCAACTTCAATAGCCTGTGGGGTTTCTCCCCCCACCCCACAACATATTCACACTCTCCTTCTCAATAAACCTGCTGAAGACCCCCCTGCTCAACATCAGCTGCAAAAGGTTGAAAAAACACACATTCCAGTACAGTGTATTGTACCGACTTCAATATTTGCAGCCAGGCCCAAAGCCCAATACAGCCAATAAACAGCCACCCGATGGGTTTTACCTAAGCCCCTCAGTCCAGAAACTCTGCAGAGCGGTGACTCTGTTTGTTCAATATTTTTACCACTTCATCCCAGGGAGTCAAGAAATGAAGCCGCAAGCCCCTGGATTCTCCAGACGGTGCAATGGGAGGCAGTGGGGTGACAGGTATCATTTGAAACCCAGAACTCGCTCAGAGGTACTGCGTTACATTTTTATTTTATGTCTTTTAGAAAAAACAAGTCCAGGTCTCTTAAAAAGCTCAACAGAAGGCCACAGAGTGTTTGAAGGCACAGTGTACTCACAGCAGGAGCACGTCACCCTACAAGAACCCTGTGCACTACAAACCTACACACAAACACCAGTGAATAAAACCCAAGAGTCAACAGCAGGAGCAGGAGTACAAACAGCTTGTGGGCTCAGCCGCTCCCC